TTAAAGTTCAGAGTACAAAGTGGAACATTTTAGTAAGTGAGAATAGAAAATCGTAGAAGCACTTTTAAATGGTACAGCTTACATTTCAAAAGCTTATATGCTTCCATTCACAAGCGCTTATACGGTAACACTTGCAGCAGATGTAAAGCATTATGTTGAGCACTTCTGTTAAAAAAAAGTGCTAGTCATTGAGAAGATGAGGAAGATGAAGAACAGTGCTGACAGACATATTCCTAATAGAAAGAAGTCTCAAATAAACAAGTTTTGAAGAAAGAAAGAAAAAGAAGTCTGTCAAGCCTATAAAGTGGACTATTTGATTTTAAGGGCACAAGTTTGGGAATGGATATTGAATTTTAACGAAACGGAATTTTTAATTGAATATGCAATGAGAAAGGACTCGAATTGAAACCTAATGATTTCTGACATATATTGAACAAATATTTGTAATGCTTATAGACAAGCCGCACCCTCTGGAATATGCCTTAGAAACTACAATCTTTCACTCAGCCACTAAACTCGACTTATTCCCTAAGGAGCTCACATAGTTTTCCTAGCCACCAATCAATTTCATAATAAATAACCATTTTAATGTTTCGCTCAAAGATTAAATAAATTCCCCCGGCGAGCCGAGGGCTCCTCAATTAAAGGTACACTTGTATTCAATAAATTATTTCTAAATCGCCATTACGTTATCTTAGCCCACACAGTAGAGGCCACATCAGAGAACGTATTTCCATGGGCGCCATTGCATTTGGCCTTAATAAGCGCCAATCCATTAGTTGCCACAAATCGTGAACGTGCACCATTTCAGCACAATGCTAATGCAAAATTTGCCATGGTCTTAACAGAAAAGAAGAAGCAGCGGCAGCAACAGTCACTTAAACCGCCCACGCACACACACAAACACACAAACACACACACGCACATTCACACACAAACAGCGGCTATTCAGGCATTGTAATTATATTGCTGGACGTTGTTCAGAAAGTGCGGCACTTACGCTCACAATGCATAGAACATTGTTGTACACAGAACCTTACGGCCAGTTCCACCCGCAACTCGTACCCCTGCCTACCCCCTACCCACCCCTCATCCACTAGCCATGGGCTGTAGTCGTTGCCGCTCATCAAAATTGCTTTTATGTGCGTCTCTCACATAAAATTTACGCCCAGCTCTGTTGGCAGATGTTTCGACTACGTTTGCATAGTTTACTTGGGGGCTGTTGCTTTAGGTGTGGGCGTGGCACTTACACTGTACGTGTGGTCATTATTCTTTATTTGTTGGCCAGCTTCAGCGCCAGTTGGCCGTCTTCTGTTCTTGGTGTTGCCCTGCCTGCCCGAGCTGTTGTTGTTGTTTTTGTTGCTGTTGTGGTTGTTGTAACGCCTTTTTGACACTACTAATTCTAGTTTTATTTTCTGTGGTTGGGGGCGTGGCATTTGGTTGGCGACGGTGGTGTGAAGGCCCTAAAAATATCTACTCTTTTGTATACCCTTACATTGGGTACACCTGCACTAGCAGCCATTAGAAGTCCAATTAATATAAAAAACTGAGAAAATTATTCAATTTAAAAACTCGTCTTTCGACGGATTCTTCATATGGAACTTTGTTATATAGATATCCCATGTTAATAAGATTTTCCTTATACAACTCGTAAATGTTGAGAAATCTTGATAAACAAGCAAGCATTATATTTAAGAACTTAATTTCTGACCAATTTTTATTATGGTATATGAAATATGAAATGAAAATGGCTACATCAGCTCGGCTATCGATACTGATCAAGAATATGTTTACATATATATATACTATATATATATATAGAATTAAAAAGCTTTTATTGAAAAATCTTACTCTTGTTACTAGAACACAAAAAGGATATTCAAAGTGCGCTAATTGGCGCATTGTCGCATTTATTTAGCTTATATTTGGCCACTTTTGTTTATGGCCAAACGAAATGGAAAGTTATTTACTTAGAATAAATGGTCGTCTGCTTCATTTTATGGCCGAGACATGTGGACCAGGCCAGGAGCTTTAGTTATGCAGGCCCGCCCGCTGTTCGGTGTAATTATGTGTTGATTTGGTTGAGCATTAAATTCTTAAATTTGGTTGAAATGTTAAAGTGAATGCCGGAAATGCTTTGTGTGCCATTTGCCGCATGCCAAAAAGGGCATGAAATCTCGGATTGGAATGGAATGTGTGAGAGTCGAGACCGTGAGTGGAGAGCAGAGAGCTGAGCCTGTGTTGTTTGCCTGTGGATTTGGATCTGGGTCTGTTTTTGTAATCCACAAGGAATTTCACAGTGTTTGTTGCGCCGTGCGGATTATGTGTGGATGTCTGTGTGTGTATGCGTGTGCGTGTGTATTTAAATGCCACAGAAGCAACACGCGGGCTAGAGCCGTGCGCTGTCGACGCATTTGCGAAAAAGGTAGCCCCCGATAAGCTGCGGGCCCAAAGTGTGGCAAAAACAGGGCCAGCAACAACAACAACAACGTGGAAATAACAATGCGAGGAGCTCTCTATATAGAAAATGACAGCAGCCCAAACAAATAAATTAAAATGCGCGACAGCGCGCCAACAAAAGTTTTTTTATTCGCTGTCGCAGACCCAATAGCCAGAGCTACCCCTCGCTACCTTTTAGTCGTAAGCCAGCCCCGGCTCTAGCTCATGTGCACACCTGCCGCATAGTGGTATTCTCTGCTGTGTCTGTGTCAATATTTGCCACAAATTGAAATTAGCAGCGCGTTAGGCGCACCTGTACTCAAACTCACACACACACACACATAGCATACACAGCACACACATATGCCCATACTCACGCAGCTATTCATGCACCTGTTTTGTATTTAGCTCTAAGCATTCGCTTTGCTCATGCCGGGCACATAATCCGCGTAAATTAATATGCTGCACACACACACACATGTGCCCGTGTGTGTGCTCAACATTTGCTTTGCTAAGTCTGAAAACCTTCCATTTTCTATTTTGCAGCTAAGGGAGTACGAGCTGAGCGAAGTATTCAACATTGCCGAGGATGATCGCAAATATGAGACAGTCCAGACGCAAACCCACTTGGATGCCGAGCACAATCACGTGGAGATGAACAACGAGCTCTCCGCAAGCATCGAACGGGAGCGTCAAAGGGAGCGGGAACGGGAGCAGCAGACACCGTTTAATGATGAGAGGCAGCGCATACGCTCACAGCTCCTGGCCAAAATGAATCCCAAGTAAGTAGAGTACAAAAAGTCTGTGCGTTAATTTCCATTTTTTTTAATTTTTAAATGAAATTGTTTAAAAGCTTCTACAAAGAAAACTTTGAGCTAACTTTATGTCTTCGCTCTATATTTGAGACATATAAACTTTAATAAGAACAGCAAAAAAAACAAACAGAGTTTTTCCGTTCGAAAGTGCTCATAAATTTTCCAAATGAAGCCGATCAACATTTGTAGTACTTAGGCCAAAATATGAGTCTCATTGTAACTAACTGCGCTGAGCCTTAATTAATAGCAATTTTGTTCTTTTCTCAAACTAATTTTAATTGACATAAAAATGTATATTTACTTCGTGGCTGTAGCTAAATATAGCCATATATAGTATATTTACTTCGTGGCTGTAGCTAAATATAGCCAAGCACACAGTCGTGAATGCTCAATAATTACAAGAAACTAAAAATAGGCAAATGATAAATTAGCTGGAGCGATAAAATATAATGACAAGGCAGAAACATAAAAGCACACACACGGCGTATACGCAATTTAGTAGTTCCCCAAGCCAACAAGAGTTCAACTCAAAAGCGAGTTCTAAGAGCTTTGACACAGCTTAGTTGCATATAGAAATATATGTATATAGATATGTATAGGTATTTTAAGCAGTGCATTTTTTGTGCCTAGGTGACGCATGCTTTAATGCAATTGGACTCTGGCTATCTATCTGCGTATCCTTGTCAATGTGAGCTAAACATCCATTTGCCATACTTAACATATGCGTCAGTTGTTTGTCTGCGACGTGGAAAACTACTTGCAACACATTTAAAGCAGGCACCAGCTGCAGCAACAACAAACAAAACCAGCTCTCTAGCACACTTCAAAGCACATTACACTTCTCCTGCAAACAGCTTGTGGAGGAGGGGGCGGGGCGTTTGTGTTTGGCCTGAGACACTGACAGAGATCGCGGCACGTAGCTGGGCTAATGCTGCAACTTTAAAAAGCTTTCCCCAAAAGCAAGAAGTAACAGCAAAAGCGGACGAAGAAAACAAACAGAGGCGTGTCGTCGAGAGTAACCGACTAGAAGATGCCCTGTAGCCGGCGAGGGTCTGGCCTCAGCCACAGAGTGTAAAAAATGCCTTCTTGCATAACATTTTTGTTAATTGTCCGATTGTTATTAAATATGCAATGCTTTCAGATAGCTAAGATAGGGGAAGGTCTAAAAAAAGTAAAATATTCTTTATCTGTGTAAAGCGAAAATCCTTAAATCACATTTGATATGTCTGTATGTAATACTTCGAGTTGATATACTTAACCTGCATAAGCTGAAAGTCGATAATTAATGATTGAGGTTAAACAGAAATATATCGATAATATCCAAAAGGAAGAACGATAATATATCGATAATTGAGACCTCATACCCAATAGATCAACTCAGATGGCCTCCATCAGCCTGTTACATACATTTTCATAGGAACATTGTACCCCTCTTCAATCAATTTTCTATGGCTGCAGGGTATACAAATGTGCCAGAAAACTAAAGACTGAAATCCAGCTCGACATAGGACAGTGGGTCTTCTCAACGTGCAGGATACGTTACGCAAACTAAAACTAATCCAGTGCCACGCCCACCTAGCGTGCAACTGGAGTGGATTTTTGGCACCATTGGCACTGGTAACCTGCATATTTAATGACAAGTCCAAAGACCCAGACCCAGAAACAGACCGAACCGAAGCCAGACGATGGGCAGGCAGGAGTTGGTGGCAAACAAAACTGGGGGCAGGCAGGGGGCAGGCAGGGCTTTGAGGCGCGTACGTGTTCGAGTGCCAGCTGGCTAAAGTGCCGTTGGCGATGCGTGGGCGTGAGCTAGAGCGTGGGCGTGGCGTGGGCTGGCCTGGCTTCAACAGCAATTGGCAAGCTGACAAAAGTGCCAAGAGCAATGCCAACTAATGCCAAGCGCCAAAAACCTGCTCGGATAGTGTAATTACTCGCAATCTTATCAAAATGCCGTCGCGTGCCCCTTTTCGGCGTCTATAAAAGCAAAGCACATGCACACACTCACTCGGTCTCAGCAATATGTTCGCACTGGCAGCAACAACCACGCTTATTGCCATGAACAGCGCATGCAACATGCCGCAGCAGCAGCAACAGCAACAGCAGATGCAACGGTTGCAACAAATGCAGCAGCTGCAAATGTTGCAGCAGCGCCAATACAAGCAGCAGTTGCAGCAGCAGCGGAAAAGTAAGCTTTGACCTTTAAGAAATGCATATTCAAATAAGAAATTCATCCCACATTTTGCAGCGCAAGAGCCAAAAGCAAATCCCAAACAAAGTGACGCCACAGTAAATGCTCATAAAAAGTGGTATAAGAAATGCTTCAAAAGACAAAAAACTACAGACCCGCAAGAAATTCCAGAGCATAACTAAAGAACCTGCGACTGAGGAACTAACTTATTCCAATATAAAATATTGGCTTAAAGAAAAACTTCTTTTACAAAAAAATATACTAAAAGTTGGATCAGTTTTAGGTTGGACTGTTCTTTGGCCCTATTAAGGTTATATTTTATAGCATGTAAAAATTTGTGAATTGGACTTAAGCTGCTTCGTCTTCGAGCTGGATAGCTAAGGGTTCGGAACCTGCAGAGCCTTAAACTATGCAACTGCAGCGAAAGAAATTAAATTAAAAAGGTATATGTAAATTTAAAGAACCTGATTAAACCAAAGCTGTCGAACTGGAACCGGAAAACCTGCATCTGAAAATCCTTTACTTAAACAAATAACCTAAAGAAAGTGAAGTGTCTGAAACTACAGAGCTAATGCTCAAACTAGTCTAACAGTCTAAAAAATCGGAGAATGAGAAGCTAATAAATCTAAAAGCCCCAAAGTGTAGATCTAAACAAAAAAGATCTTGTGATACAATAAACCAATCAATGCCTGCCTCCCACTGATATTTAATGAAATAAACAAAGAATTATGAGCTTAAAATCGAATTTTATTTTAATAATAAACACGTTACAAATTTTATTGACCTTGCACAAACATATAAAACAAGTTTCAGAGTAAACTGAATCACTTAAACTGAATCTTAATCGAAAGATATTTTTATCCAAAAGTATTCAAGATAAGGAGTAAAATAATGCATATAGTTAGATATAACTTCAAATGCAACAATTCAAAAGATAAGCCATAAATAATAGGTACACCTAAACTTAACTGGAGTGCATTCAATGAACTCTGTGCTTTAAAACAGCCCAATATCATGACGTCATTACGTTATCAATTACAATACTTAAATAGTTGAATTTAACAAATGAGCCGAGGCCTATTGACAGCTCTGAACTATCTATTAATATCATATCAGGTCTGTGAGATATGCAGCTTGTTCGACTTATAAAAGTAAGGCAAGTGCCCGCCAATGCCAACAGTAGAGTTAACTTCGTCCAGACAAAAACATCAGCAAGACAACAACCATTTCGAGTACAAATAATGTCTGTGCCGCCAGCCACACTTGTGATTATTGGAGCGAGTGCAAACAATGCACAAAGAAGACGACAACAGAAACAACAACCACAACATAGCAGTAAGCCAGATGCCAGATCCATATACAAACGGAAGTTGTTATATCAAAAATTAATGTAATTTGTAGAGTCCAGTGCTCAGCAGCCAGAAGGTAAAGTTCGAGAGCAGTTACCCCAACAACAACAGCAACAACAACAACAACAGCAACAAGCACAGCCAAATGCCAAGTCAAATAGTTGCCAAATAAGTTAAAAGCAAAAAAAACCCAAACATTTGGCAGCTATCTTATCGGTTATCTAGCGACTATTTGTAAGGATTTGTGGCATGAAAATACATTTGCTATGACATAAACATTAGACTATAAATTGACGGGGTGGGGACTGTAAAATTTTAGTTAGACGACACAGCGAAAACGCAGCGGAACGCGAGCGAAAAATTAAATAAATAAAAATGGAAAGCAGAACAACAACAACAATTGAAGAAATTAGCACGGAAATAAATGGCGCCATAGTAATAGAAAGTTTCGAAATAGCAACAGTTGAGACGACGCCAACGCCAGCGAAGCGCGTGCATCACGAACAGCATCATCACAAACATCATCATCATCATCACCACCATCAACATCATGATCAAGGGCAAGGGGCAACGACATTAACCATAACCGATGTTAGCGATGGCTTGGATATTACGGAGACTGAGCAGCCAGAGACTGAACAGCACCACCATCATCATAAAGACAAACAAGCCGAGCCTCAGTTGTCCTTGCCACCACCACTGCCCAAGTCCTCGCCACCCTATCTAACGCCCAGCGATGAACAGGAGCAGTTTGTGTGGATTACTGATTTGGATCCGTCGCCACAGCAGCCAGCATCATTAACTGTAGAGCCAAAGCCGCTGGCAATGCAGACACCACCCACGCCCAGCAGCTCAACCGGCTGTCAACCTCTCCAGACAGCAGCAGCAGCAGCAGCAGACACTGCAGTGACAGCAGCAGCAGCAGCTACTGTAAATCAAACAGCGTTCAGCAGTGAGACTCAACTGCCGCAGCCTGCACCTGCACCTGCACCACCACCAACTGCAACCACCGAGCAGGCTGTGTGGCTAACGGATTTGGATGCGCCACCACAACAGACAGCGTCCTTGGTCACAGTTAAGGAGTTGCCACAACAAGCGCCAGCCGCCAACAACAGCTCTGAGTGGGTGGTGCAGTCGCTGACCGTGGCAGCAACTCCGACAGCAGCAGCAACAGCTCCATCAGTACGCCAAACGGAGCTCAGCATTGAGACTCAACCGATAAAGGCCGCGCCCTTGGCAGAACCTATGGTGCTCGTTGGCGAGGTAACTGCCGACACCATCGATACACGCAGAAAATCCTACAGAGTCAGCATGGATTTGACTGCACCACCACTGCAGGAGCCGAAGAAACGATGCTGTTGCCGGATTTCCTAAGAAAATAAACTTCTTTTTAAACTGAGCTTTTAATAGAGCTTTACTTTAATTAGAACTTTAAGTAACACTTAAGGCTCATCACTTTATCCCTTAAAAAAAAGCTTTCGAATGGAAAGTGCAATGTGTTAAAACGAGAGCGGCATAGTGTGTGCTTTAAAGCTTTTTAAGTTCTAGGCAATTTCAATACTTCGCTTATATTGCACTAGAGCTTAAGCTGCATAATTAAAGCTGTCTAAATTAAAGCTATTAGCTGTCTGTAAATACCATATGGCCTGCTTGAAGCTGTAAAACATTGGAAGAGATGAAGCACATAAATAATAATAAAAAATAAGTTATATAAAAAAAATAAAAATATAAGTTATGATAGAAAAGCAGAGAAATTGCTAGATCTGACACTTATATCAATCGCTGTGGAGGTTTTTTGCATAAACTTTAAAAATCGAATTTTTAATAGTCGATCAAAACGTTAACATTCGATTATTCTGCAATCCTAACATTCCACTGTCTTACCGCATTTCATAGATATGTTAATAAAGATATGTCACAGCGAAAGTGATTGCTTGAAAATTATAGCTTTTAATGCTTGGATACCTTGAATCTAAAATTCCTGCTTAGAGAAAATCTCTTTGATATCCTTTCTGTTCGCAAACAATTCAATATTGAATTGTCTTGAAACCCTATCAAAGCTTCGTCTGCCTATAGAAACACATACAAATTTAAATATTTTCTTAGTATATTTCTCTTCCTTTGAACCGCTTACATTAATTTTACACAGTAGTTTAAAAGATATGTTAATTTACAGGGCTGGGGCATTTTAAACGATACTTAAAATTCAGCTCTTAACTTAGCTGTCTCACTCGCACTACGCTTACTGCAATAAGAGTCACAATATTATTTGGCTTGCTTCTGTATGTTTGGGGCACATTCCTCACGCTGGGGAAGCACAGTCATCGCTTATCGATGACAAAACTGCCTTATCAGCATGTGAACAGTAAGCTTCCTCCTATGCACCCTTATCTAATCTTCGGCCAAACAAAATCACAGTCGCTGACAAAACGTAATTGATAATTAATTAGCTGTGGCCACTCGTGGGCAACTCCAAAAAGTGAATGACCATTCCGATAAAACACTTCACGACCGTCAGTCAACGGTCAGTCAACGGGCGCTGAGCTACACTCGAGGATAGCGCGATGCCGCCGCCAGGACGCGGTTTTGGACCCGGACCAGTGCACCGGCCACCGCCCGGACCCGGCTTTCGGCCACCGCCCGGACCCGGCTTTCGGCCAGGACCCTATGGCCCCGGTCCGCCGCCACCCGGACGCACCAATGTCAATGTAGATGTCAATATTGGAGCACGGCCGCCGCCCATTGGCGTGGGCATTGGCTTTGCACCGCCGCCGCTCGTTATTGGCGCGCCACCAATTGTAATCGGTGCTGCAGGACCACCGCCGCCTGTTGTTGTTGAAACCTACGGACCGCCACGACCCGCAATGGCCACAGCCACTGTCTACACACAGCCGGAAGTCTGTTGTTGTGTTATTCTCTAGACAAAGTGTGCGTGTGATTTGTGTGTAATATCTGTATCTTTATAGCCAAATGAGCATCTGCCATATGTTTTCTCTATCCATATTCTATATATTGTGACTGTGAATAAATTGTTAAGTTTTGTGAGCGCAAACCTGTTGACGATTTCATTGAAGTCCTGAAGAAATTGAATATTAATTGTGTTACCTTTAAATTTATCTAAACTTATCAATGCGACACTTAAAAGAATTCCCCTTGGGACTGAACTATTTAAATAGGACAGTCTTTTGCAGCTGTCACAGGCCATATAACTTGTTCTAGGGTAATTATTTAGCTTCAGTCGATAAGAAATAAAATGTGATTGATAGGTTAAAACTGTGCTAAAACACTTCTATTAAATACAAGATAATGTTATCTTACAGCTGTTAAAGACCGTTAACAGACAATGTCCACAGACATGTAAAAACTTTCCAGAATTCACCAAAAAATGTACAAACTTTTAGTTTGAGACTACTGTGTTTTAGTAACAGATTTAGACTAAGATTCTTTTTCTTTATTTTGCCAAGAATTGTCCAGCAAATTTGCATATAACATGATAGGTTAATTTGGGTAGAAGCCACGCTCTGTCAAATGGACAAATTTTTAATCTTGAAATCACTTTGCATCTATTTTCAGTCGACTGCAGCATTCTCACTTGTTCGCTTTATCGAACAGAGCGTAAAAATAAAACATTATTTAACATTTTTGAACTACTTTAATAACGAATTGCATTAAGCAAATTTTTTGGCAAGAATTTTACTTTAAATTAGGAATTTTTTTGAAAATCAATTGCTGTTATGATTTTCATAAGTAACACAGAACATATAAGCGTTACAAGCTGGATTTCGTATGCCTTAATACAGACTCTGAGACACAGACATATCACAGAGAGATTACACATACGCCATGTTAGCTGCTGCTGTTGTTGCAAGGTGTTTTTCTCGCTGAGCGCCTTTCTTATTTCAGCACGTCAGCTGTAGACAATTTCAATTTAAATTTGCCTTTTGCAGTTCGCCCGGAATAGGGCCGACGCGGAAGAGCAGGCCGGGCCCAGGCCAGAGGTGGAAGCAACATTTGCTGTGCCGCCGTCGGTTTCCTTCCTTCCTTCCTTCCTGGCCGACTTCCGTGTTTTGTTTCCTGCACTTTTCGTTTATTTGCATACACATGCCGCGTATATGCCGTGCAAAATCGCGCAAATAATAATGAAAAAAGAAATCAAGCGAATGGTAGCGTGGAGTAGGAGCGGGAGCGGGAGCGGGAGCGGGAGCGGGGCGGGACCAGGTTACGGGAAATACAGGGCCAAGTAAATTGGCGAAAATATTGAAAACGTGTAGCGCAAGACTAAAAAGTCCAAACGAGTCGACAGACTTAAAAGCCTCAAAAGCGTCGAAAGTGAGAGGAAAATGTGTGGAAAGGCGTGTGGAAAACACAGTCGCCAGAGGCTGCAGCTGGCTCTGCCGACTGCCGGCTGCGTGGGTAAAGTAATGAAGAAAATTTCCCAAATTGAAATTACAAACATTCCTTTTTTTCTCGAAAGTAAGAAATTTGTCCCAACAAGCACACACAGTATACAGTGTGTGCACATGTGCGTGTGTGTGTTGAACGGCAGTTATTAGCAACAATTTGTGTTGATCATATTTACGGCAATTACCGTTAGACGAGCGCATCAAACTGTAGCAAGTAAATGTTATTTCATGCGCAATTTGTGCCCGTGTACAGTGGCTCAAAATCACATTTACATTGCACTCAAATGGAAGAACTGTTAACAGCACGTAATACTATTATGCTGACATTCAACTGCTCTATAATGACCCCATAAGCAGTTAAACACAATCCGTAAATAGGTTAACTAAAAATGGATTTCAACTAAGAAAAAAACTTAAACTGTGCAATAAATTAACTGTTAGAAGTTGAATTTAGCTATTTATTAATAGTGGAATGCAAATTTTAGTTAACTTATGTCTATTAACGATCTGTCTCTGTTGTCTGTTAACAGTCTGCAGCTGTTATATATCAACAGTCTGCTATCTTTTCACAGTATGTCGATCTTGACTGTCAACAATCTTTAGCATTTGTCTGAAATCGGTCTGTTGTCTTTTGCAATTGTTGTCTTTTAGCAATTTGAAGTCTATTTTACCTGTCTGCTATCTTTTAAAAGCTTGTAGATGTCGTCTGTTAACCGTCTGTAGCTGCTGTCCTTTTAACAGTCTGCAGGTGTTGTCTGTTAGTCGTCTGTTATATGTCAACAGTCTGCTATCATAGTCGATGTTGATGTGGTCTGTTAACAACAACAATCTTCAGCTGTTGTCTATTAGCATATTGCAGATGGTATTTAGAAACAGTCTGCTATCTTTTAACAGTCTGTAGGTGTTGTGTTATAGGTCTGTAGCTGTTAAGTGTCAACCGTCTGCTATCTGTTAACAGTATGTCAATGTTAAAGTTATCTGTTAGCAGACATATATATGAACAATTTTATGACAACTGCTATCTGTTAACAGCCTTTAGTTGTTGTCTCTTAACAGATTGTATCTATTGTGTTGACATTCTGTAGTAGCTCTCTGATAGCACATTGTCGTTTTCGTCTCTTAACAGATTGTAGCTTTTGTGTTGGCAGTCTGTAGCTGCTCTCTGTTAACACGCTGTACTTTTTGTCTCTTAACAGTTTAAAGCGCTTGTCTCTCACTACAAAATATTTACATTTGTTCTTTAAGACAATGCACTAACTCTTTTCTAATAAAAAAAACTTAATATTTTTGATATTATTATATTATTTTATATAGAAATTAATTTAATATAATATATAATAACATTATTTTATAAAGTCAATAATTCGATTGCTAAAATTGCATTGATATGTTATTTCCTTTAAAAATATGTATGTATAAATATATATAAATATCTACGAAATTAATTAATTTAATTTCTCATTTTTGTTTCGCACCCACAGCTACAACAACAGCCAACAGCCGGGCGGTGTGGTAAATGTGGTGCCCAAGAATGATAAGCATGCGCTGATGCAGAGCATTGCCAGCAGTTACCGGCGCACCGATGCGGCCAATAACAACATAACGAGCTACCCGGCAAAGGCCAAAGGCTCTGCCACTGCCACTGCCACTGCCTCAGCCTCAGCCGCCGTCTCGGGCAGGGGAACGGGCACGGGCACGGGCTCATCACGACGTCGCGCTTCGTTGGCGGCGTCGAAACGGCGTCGCGACTGTCGCGTCGGCCACTGGTCCGAGTGGACGGCCTGCAGCAAGAGCTGTGGCATTGGTGAGATGCATCGATATCGCAAAGTCATCAAGCATGGCAAGCGCGGAGGGCGACCCTGCCCGGCGCTGCAGCAGTCCAAATGGTGCGGCACCGAGCGCAACTGTCACGGGCCGCAGAGCTATTTTAATTGGTAAGTGGACCCGCCCGCCGTGGCACCCACCCGCCCAGCTGCTCAATATCGACTGTTGTAGTCAAATATGCATTTAATTTCTCCAATAATGACTGCAGGTCCGATTCAGACACATGAACGCGCTATGCTGCAGCAACCGGCCATATATAAATATAATTTTAATTTAAGGCGTAAGAATTGCTTTTTGTGGACAACAGTAGAGAGAGTGACACGAGAAATCCCGCAGCGTAGAGACCAGAGACGGCAGAGACAACAATCCCAAACCAACTGCTGAGCGATTTTAATTTAAATTTAGATTACGATACGAAATTCACAAAGAAATTGATTTTAAAATTGCACGCAAATGCTGACAGTAACATTTTCGAGATATATATAAAAGAAAATCATGAAAATTGCATATGAAACCGAAGACTACTGACAATATTTAAAACAAAAAGGATTTAAAAACAAATAAGGAAACACACACATTTGGCTAAAAAAAAGAAAAAAAGATACAAAAACCAACAAAAAAAAAACCCAAAAATTTGTCTTAAGTTTTTTTAATTGAGTTGCTTAAGCTAATTTTATTGTATAAATCAAGCAAAACTTTCAACATATGTGTCATATATATATATATATATATATATATATATATATATATATATATATATATATATATAGAAAACCAAAAACGTAAAACCAAAAAAAAATCTTTATAGTAGACGTACAAATTTAAGATGCAAAGCGACTTATGCGAGAGCGGTAAGTAAATATTTTAATTATAATTATTATTTTAAATACATTTTATTGCTTAAAATTTCAATTTTCATTTACCAAAAATCAAACACAAGTTTTAAAATATTTTAATATATATTTTTTTTTGCTATTTGATTTTATTTTGACAGCCATTTATGCAACCGCGCTCGCATATCTAAGTATATTAACTAAATCAAACCAAATAAAAAAAAAAAAAAACAAACAAAACAAAAACAAAGCGTGAACATTTGCGTAACCAAACAAGGAAAAAACAAAAATCACACACACACCTTCACACTCTATAGGTATATGTGTGTGTGTGTGTGCAACAGCAATTAAGCTAACATTAGATGTAAACTAAGTTAATTAAACTCTAACAGAATGCAATAAAAGTAAAACAACAACTGCAGTCGATTAAAATCTAGTTTTCAATAATACCTAACAAGAAGCTCAGTATGGCTACCGAACCAAACCACAAACAGTTTGAGAGCCAAAACTTGAAAGGCACACAAACAAGACCAAACTATTTGTGTGCACACAACAGTTTGCAAGCCTTGCAAGTCAAACGGCAAAAGTTCAGTTTGAGTTTCAATAGCAAAATAATAGTTTGACAGCCACATTGATTGACAAACAGTCTATGCGGCACAACCTAGGCAATATGCTGTATTTCAATCTCAAGTGCAAAGGCCAATGGTAGATAGTTTAACAGCAACTGAGCTGCAGTAGCTGGCAAATATAACTGACCAAACATTTGACAGTTAGAGAGGCACACCTTAATATAACTGTTTAACAGTTTGAGAGTCACATAAAGCTTTGAAATGTACAGTTTGTGTGTGGCTGAAGCAATTGCCTTGATGTGCAAGAAAATGCTTGAGAGCAGTTTGAGGCGCATTGCTAGACCCAGAGAATAAAATGTAAACTAGAAAATATTTAAATATCAGTTCAGAAACAGTTGGAGAGCCACGCACAGCATAACAGTTATGAAGGCACAGCTAGAGGCATAGTTTTGGCTGCAAATTGAATGTAAAATAAATCAATCAAATGCAAATTACACATAAAATATGGAAATTATGTAATAAATAAAAACGACAGCAGCAACAGCAAAAAACACCATTTTGTAAAATACCACCAACAATTCGAACAAAGCAACAGCAGCAACAACAACAGCCAATAAAGCCAATGCATCGCAAACTGTGCTCTGTTTTCAAAGTGCTCTTGTTTGATATCGCTTTTGACGCCATTTTAGGAGCGCCGGCAAAATCAGCTTTAGACCGCCCGCCAGCATTATGCACAGTCCAGCAAAGGCGAACGGCACCACATACCCGCCCGTTTTGTCGAGCAGCAAACCACCCAAAGTAGTGCCAATGAATACGCCCAGGCCCATGGCCAGAGCGGTAATGCCAAAGGCGTTCGTCAGCTTCGAGAGCCCCAAATAGCGCACATAGATGAGAGCGCGCAGCGTGGCATAGACAGCTGCAAGTGTACGGAAATAAAGGGGAGGTGGTAAGTATGTTAACTAACTCTAATACTCTGTTCACTAACGGGAAAAATCAAGTAAGAGTCCACTAGCGGGGACTCAGAACCCAGCGTCGAAAGTTCTTCTCCTGGCCCAACTTAATGGGAAACGCTTTCTTAAATAGCTTCGGTGCTTATTGTCCGATCGTGCTTAAATGTTCCTGAATATGGCGTACAATTGCTTGTTTTGCCCAATAAGGAAATGCCAAGAGAGCTATGCAAAAAGTGAAATACACCTTTGTATGCTATAAAAGAGTCTATATATTAATTTTGGCGACCTTAGCTCATATAAGTTCTGAGAAATGCTCAAAAAACAGGAGTTCGACATAGATTTTTTTCGATTTCCTGAAAAGGGGCGGTCATCAAACTTCTGTCCGATGATCATTTAAAGAGAAGAAAGGAGACAGACTGTGGAAAATTGATTTTTTTCACCCAGTTTAAAGGTTAGAGTTTAAGAGTCAGCGATCTTCGCCTCACACTTTTTTCACACTCATCCCAGCTGTTGTAAACAGAGTACTGCACAGTCGGTCGCAACCGACTTGTCAAGGCCAGATCAACCCACCTGGCGCAATGCCATAGCACATTCCATAGACCATCTGAAACCAGATCAAATCGGTGCCGAAGAAAGCGCTGATAAAGACCATGATGCCGCCGAGCAACATGCCACCGCCACAGATATAGTTCGTCCAGCTCCTCAGCTTGTAGGCTATAAATCCGCACAGGATACGCGTTACGAAATTGGAAGCACCGATGGCTGGGCCAATCATCCGGGCATACTCAGCCGGTATGCTGGTGCGCATCTTGGAGTAGAGAAAGGGTATATTGAAGCCCATCGGATAGAAGAAGGCGGAGGCCAATAGGATGCGGAACTCAAAGCTCTTCAGCAGATGTACATCGAACAGACGATTCATGCCCTTCATTACCTTCGTATGGAGCCATCCACGTTTCCTTGGCTTGCGCGGCTTTTTGCGCCGATGTGGCTGCGGGGCGGTGGCAAAGGTGTGTTTTGGTGAGAGGGGACGCAGCCGCACATCGGAACCGGAACCCGTCCCCGACAAATTGCTGCTACTGTCATAGTTGTGTATATTGTGCAGGCCATAGGCAGCTCTTTGCAGCTGAAGAAAAAAGGGAAAAATATATATATATATATCAGACAGACTCGCAGTGAGCCGATGATTGGGCTGTGGCGCACTCACATGGGTTTGGGTGCCAACCAGTTCCAGTTCCTTGCCATCGAACTGCTCCTTGTGGTGCGGCTCCTCATAGTCAATGGGTCCCGTGTAGAACAGATCATCGCGCTGCAGGGGATCCGGTCGCACTACATAATTGCGCTCGGAGCGCTCGGAGGCAGTCGTCTCCTCTTTAAGCTTCGTTTTTGGACAGCAAGGACAGCAAAATTGGATGCAGCGTCGCAGCTTGCCCTGCTTTTTACTGGGCGGCTCATAAGTCTCGATCACGTTGTGAGATCTCTTGGCGGAGAGATCATCGCCGAGAAAATTGTGCACATAGAAATTGCCATAATACTCGTTCGAACTGGTGCTGCTCAAGGGATCCGCTTGATGCACTACGCCCACAGGCGATGGTGCCACCTCCAAATAGGCAATCGCCACAAATAGTAAAAGACACAAGAGAATTACCTGAATGCGTATGGTATTCCGCCAGCCCATGTTTTGGACCAGAATATTGTTGGTAATGGAAAAAATTAATATGCCAGCGCCGGCACCCGAACAAGAGAATCCGCTGGCAATGGGCCGATACCGCTCGAAATAGAAACCAATGATGAGCTGTGAGCTCACCCAGATCATGCTCAGTCCGGGTCCAGCTGCGGCGACTGCGGCCTTTGTAGTTGGGGGTTACTCCATGCAGCACGAAATCGATACTTACCAATTATGCTGTAAAAGAAGATCACCGCACTCAAACTCGGACCAAAGCTGGCCGCCAGCATGGCCAGGGCTGAGATGATGACGCCACCCAATGCCACTGGCCGAAAGCCATAGATGTTGATCAGCGCGCTGGAGAAGGCGCCGCCAAAAAAATAGCATCCAATTTGTACGCTGCCCACCAGCACCACCTGGCCGTTGCTCACACTGAACTCGTTGGCCATGTGGGGCAGCAATATGCCAATGGTGAAGACGATGCCATCGACAATCAGTTGTGCTATAAAGCTTAGGATCAGCACCACCCAGCCATAGCCACCGTCCGGCGGTATGGCCATATAGATCTATGGGCGGGATTTAAGGGCGGTATCATTAGTCGTGATTGATTAGCCTGCTCCACCCACTCACTTACGAAGGCCAAGCCGGAGGCCAGCCTTAAGTTCGGCGGCAGATTGCGCTGCTGAAAATCGTTTGGGTCCAGGTCCACCACCTCGCCTTCGGTCACAATGATCGTCCCGCTGCTTGAGTACTTAATGCTGCTGGTCTCGGGGGTCCGAGCTCTATCCGATTCTTCCGATTGCGGTATATCCGTGAAATCGCTTGTTGCCGTTATATTTGATTGTCGCATATAAGAGCTAGCGGTTTTTGGACCAAGAATCGAGTCATCCGATTCGTCTGCAGCCGGATTTGGCTTAGCATGTCCTAGTTGCATGGCAGGTTTGTATAATATTAGTTAGGTAAAAAAGGACCTAGCAAAATTTTTCAATTTTAATGTAATGTAAGCAATGTAATGTAAAGTAAAATATTCTTGATCTGTTTTTACCATACTTGAGGGTAAATACCAAATTTGGTGTATCTAGCTCTCTAAATCTTCGAGTTATGCTTAAGAGCCCAAGTCTCAAAATGGTGCAATATCAACAAAATTGATTAGCTTATTATGCGTGTAACATACGAATATATATATATTGTTATTAAAGTCTTTTGGGGGAGTCAATACCATGTCAAAGCTTTCGCTCCTGGTAACAATTTCCACCGTTAGAAACTTTACCCGATATTTAAATCTAGAACGTACTTTTTTTGAATACCTTAGTCTTCTTGGTGGTTAGCGGCTCGTCCTGATCGTAATTGTCGGAACTGGTGGACTTCTTTGAACTCTTGCGGCCATGCCTTTTGTTGAAAAGCACAGTAGTTGGCAATTTGTGCGGCACTTCAGATCCAGTTGGTTTTAAGGAAGATTTAGGGTCGGCTACAGACACTGTGGGTACTGCAGTTCGCTTTGCCGCCCTCGTTCCACTCAGGTACACCGGATCGGTATTCACCTGCGCATCCTTCATTTCACGCGGCCCCAAAGGTGCTGCCAGCAGGATAAGCGGCATTGGCAGTGCCTCAGCAGGCTGCCGCTCGCCAACAACGGTGCGACCAGTCGCTGTTGACGCCACATCCGAGTGCTCCAGCCCTTGGGCAGCCGTCCGTGCCTGAGACGTGCTCTCGCACTCATCCTCTGGCGTTGCATTTCGGCGCTCATCCAGTGGCAGCGGCGGCGTCGACGGCGGCGTCGACGGCGGCGTTCGACTGTGTGTGCACAATTGGCGCTTACTTGGTGGTTCACTGGCACCACTAAGACACACTCACCTGCCCTGGCTACGTTTTCTGCTCAATTTTGATTCGGAGCTAGCTGACATTTTTTTCAAATATCTCTGCGTGGCTGTCGCACCCAAGCCAGGTCTTAATGTCAATGGCAGCGCCTGAACTAACAGCACGGGACAGCCGTGAGGCAGCATTCAGAGCAGTCACAGTGAGCGCATCCTTGTCTCAGCCCTGGCGTCCTGGCGTGCCGGCGTCTACGTGCCGCCAGCCAAAAGTGTCCTCGCTGCGATATGAGAAATTCCTGGCTACAGACCGCGATGCTAACACTGACGTGTGCCACTCCCACAACCGCCCCTGCAGCTGTTGCGATAGACAGACAGTCCCCAACATTTACTTCCGCACCCGCATTCCTGCAGCCTTACGCTCCGGTTGCAAGTTGCAAGTTGCTTTTACTGCAACTGTTACTTTTGCTATTTCCCATTCCAGTTGCTGTTTATTTTGGCCCAACGAAATTGCATCAGTGCAATTTCATTGATTGCAAGTAAATGAAATCATTCCAATGTCCCGCACACGACTCCCTCTCTTCTGAAGCCTGCCCCACGCCCTCCGCTCCGCCAGGGTCTAGTGTACATGCTCGTCTGGGGGAAGTGGCAAGTGCATTTGTGCTTTATGCGAATTTTGAGCACTGAGTTGCAGTTACTTAATTTACAGCATTATTTATTCAAATGGCAAGAGAGCACCTTAATGGGCACATACTGAGGGACTCTCATTGGCCGCCTCACGAATACGTTGCTATATTATTCTCTCATATAACATATTCTGCAGCATCGTATATTTACTTAATATTTAAACTTATTTTAAAGAAAAATTGCTCTAATGCTTGCTTCATGTTGTAAGTCGAAGTCGAAATATAATATTTTTGTGCTCTTAGTTCATCTCTATTTAACTTAGGCCATTTCACAAGTCGTGCGTTAAGCTATTTCATCATAAAGAAATGATACAGATCGCAATTCAATCGGGCGATAACTTACATGCCAAGAAGTTATTTATATCGAGAGTAGCTTAAATTAAAGTCAAACATAACAAATATATAATACAATATATCCCTACACCATAAGGAATTGCTAAAAGGGGTATATTGCTTGTGTGTAAATTAATGCAACAAACAGATGGAAGCATCTTCGAACCCATATAGTATATATTTTTGCGATGATCTGCCGCCTGTCCGTTCTCTATAGTTCGAGACTTTATATATATATATATAATTTATATACACACTCTTTTGTACAATAGGCGAAACGAGTTTTTCATTAATTTGTTCGATATGTTCTCCCAATTTCATAATATCGATAATTATCGATTTTAAGAGAAGGTTTTGTAAGCATAACTCGTGGATTATAAGAATTAGATACAACAAACCTGGTATATATAGAACATGCAGAACGAATTTTTCATTTTTCTTATCATTTTTCAAAATATCGATAAATATCGAGCTTACGATATTGTATTTTAAGCATAACTCTAAGATAATAAGAGCTAGATACCACAAACCGGGTATGTAGAATCCCAGAATCAGGGAATTAAAGAGCTGGTTAAAACAAAAATTCTTGTTTTGTCTCAACTATTTGAAATTTATGCACGATATTAATATATAATATTATTGTAAATAAACTTAAAATAAATTTTTGTTGGCTAATTCAATGCAAAGAGTTGTATTTCGGGTAGTTAGCTCATGTATAAGGAATGGTGGGCTCCACCAAATGGTTTTTTCTTGTTTTTTTTTTTATTAGCCGAAAGCTGGCTGTAAGCCAACGAATCGAATTCTCGCTTTAATGGCAGCTGCTAAGCTGGCTCCAAGGCTCGACACGACAATACAAGAAAAAATAAACAGAAATAACAAAATAGAAATCAAGAAAAATAGTCGAGAGAACTGTGTTCGGGCTCGGCAAAACAGCCTCATGCATTTTTTTGGTTTGCTGCGCACATCAAAAAAAAAGAAGGAAGAAAAAAACAAAACAAATAAAATAAAGCCAAACAAAAACAGCGGGCGAAAGGTTTAAAAAAATCCAATAAGTATACGCCACGTTGTACGCGCTGCTTGAACAGTTAACAGGCACGGCCAGTTTTCGCTTTTACACCCCACTCCAGTCCCTCTGCCCAGCTCATGCAAAATATGCATGAGTGCAGGCCCATAAAATTGGGTCAATTGCTGTTAACAATTTGGCGGCGCAATCTTTTGCCCGTTTCGATTTCAAGGCAGCTGCCCAGGGCCCAATTGGGCTGCCAAAAAAAAACGCAAAAATTGCAGCTAGCTGTTAAAAAAAACTGGCACATTCCAAGCCTTTTGAAAAAACAATTTCGCATAGAGTAGTTGTTGGGCAAACGAAAAATCGTGCAAATTCAGCGCTGCACCCGGGCACCCGGGCACTTGGCCCGGAATGCCGCTGCCAACGTGGCCAACGGGCAGGAGACTGTTGGCCCGCGGGCACAAAATGCCCACTCACTAATTAATTAGTGCGTTTTGTTTATTGTTTGCTGTTGAAACTTTTGCCTCGGCCTTTTGCTGGGAAGCCTTGCCCTCTAACTATGAAGGACCCGCCGCGAAATTGTGAATCAACTTTTGAATGCATTCCAAATACCAAGTTGAGTTTTATACTTAAGTGCTGTATTCTATTTTTTCTTTTTTGTTTTCCACTATTTGTTGAGCTCTACAAAATGCCGCCAAAATTTCACTAGAACTTAAAGTGTAAAGTGTCAATAGGAAGGCGCCTTATTTAAAAAAGGGAGCTGCCTTTCCGCTGTTCTTAGAATTTTCCGACTCCATTCTTAAAGATTCTATGGAAATGGCTTTTATTTATTAATTTCACCCATTCTTGTTACTCAAATTTAATTTTCTGCCAAGTAAGAAACTTCTAGTTCTAGTTTAAAAAACAATAAATTCCTGAACTGTATGAGCAGAACGAGTTTCGATAAGCATTGATAAAAATCGATTCGTGGTCTTGGTATGCAGGTTCATATGCTGTATATAGATTAGGAATATTTCACTTTTTGTATACCTTTTCCGCAGTCACCCGAAATTAACAAAAAAAAAAACACTCTTTAACCTGGGCCAGGGTATCTCCTGGACGAACACTCCCGACTAGAACATTCCTGCTTGTTTCTGCATATTCGAATTTGCTACAATCCTTAGCTTGCTGGGTTAAATTTGTCAGTCTGTAATAAGTATATTGATTTTCACAAAAGACAATCAGTAAACATTTGGGCTCCGTCCGGCATTTATGTGCTCAAACCAAATTTTTTTTTGTATTTTTAATTTTGATGATGAGTTCTAAAAATTTAGCCAACTACACAACACATATTTGTAAAGAGCTGGTGCAGCCATGCCGGTGTATGAGGCCAATGGGTTACCTGGCTGCCCGTTGCATGGGAAGTTTCAAGTGCGACAAGGCGACTGTAACTGTAAAGAAGACATGTATACCGGTTGAGAAAATACAGCCAGAATACTATAAACAGCGCAAGCCCTGCAAGCCAGATACGGAGCTAAGGGCAAATCCCAGTTTGGGATACCCGCGATGCGATATACCCTACAATCCGACGTGTATGGGGCTGTGTTTCAACAAGCCCCGTCTCGATACGCGCCTGTACAAGCCCAGCAAGAGTCTCCATCGTCCCTTCCAGGTCAACTGGATAGAATGTGTGCTGGAGAGGAAGCGTGCCAAGCGATGCGCGGGCAAAATAATGCTCCCGGAGATCAAGCGCCGCAAGATACAGAAGCCATATTGTCCCCGATGTGTGATCCCAAAGTGCTCGACAATGAAGCCGATGCCGTGCAAGCCCTTTAAGCCAGCACTTCCTACATCGGAGGAGCGCTGTATTAAATTCCCACTATGCGAGTGCCCTAAGGGCAGAGAAAGGACCCGCTGCAAGATCAATATGAAAGTGCAGACAACCTGCAAGCGACTGCGCACACGCTATCCCAGTTTCTCAGAGTGTGATGCTGCCGTGAATGTGGCATTAATTAACGAGTGCTACAGTCCACCATCCATATGCGAGATGTGGCGATCATTCAAGAGTCGTTATAGCGGATAACTAAGAACTCATTTAGAACTTTTGGGACTGTGGCTTTTCGTATGCAACATTATATCGTTCGAAACCTTTTCAATCTAAAATTAGGACTACAGAAAAAAAAGGGCATTTGAGCGCTAACAACCACATTTTTCATTCCAATTAGACTACATTTTTCTGGAAATATCGACCCAAATCGCTCGAATCTTAAACATCAAATGGTTGTAAAAACAAGCAAGTAAACAAACCTAAATTTTATCCGATGAATCACGTTTTAACACGTGTACAATTTCAAAAAATTAAAAATAAACATATTAATCCGATATATAAATTCAATTTTACGTCATTAAATCTTAACGAAAAAATTTAAGTTTCAGTTTGTGTTCGATTCTGTACCTTCTAGGTTTTTTTTTTGGTTTTTGTTTATTTGTTAACATAGAGGCCTTGAGATTATTGTCAGATTTGTGTCAGACTAACATAGGTGGTGTGCCAAGGCTTTTTTTTTTGATATTCGAAATCAGGCGTTTGGCATGAAACAACACTAAATTTACAGTTTGCTTTCGAAAATATGAATAATTTACGTAGCTTAAAAATATCATCGCAAGTCAAGAGCTGTGCCAGGCTTGCACAGCCAATCCTTTGGTACTCGAGTGAAAATTCCGAAAGGATCAAGATGTCCGCTGAATTGCTCAAGGAGAAGTTGCGTCAGAAGTTACGGCGCGAGACCATGGTGCGCACGCCCTGCTATTTAAGGCTGCGACGATCCGAATATAAGTGTCTGGCCTATCAAGAAATAGTGCCAGATCCCTGTCACCCGGAACCGTGCGCCGTACCTATGGATGTGAAGGGATATAAGCCGACGGACAAATTAAAAATAAATTATCAAAGGACTTGGTGCGAGTTCAAGCCGGCACCGAGACGTAAGCCAAAAGTGCGAAGAATCTATCCGGAACTTGAGCGTCGTAATGCAAAAGCATTCCGGGGTAAGCTCTGCACCGCTTGCGAGCCTGAAGATTGTGAACTGCCGAAAAGCCCTCGAGCCCCGCCACCCAGACTTTTTCCGGTTAAAACACTGCCCTGGCCCTGCTGCAAGTTTCGTAGTGTCACATGTCGATCTAGCAAACCGGATGGCAAATGCTACCCTGGTCGCTTGCCCTCCTGCTGTGTGAAGCGCCAGACGCCGTATCTCAGCTTTTCCGAGTGCAAGAAATTTGAGCTGCCGCCACCAGTCACTGTCTGCGAATGCGACCAGAAACCGAGCGTATGTGATATGTGGCACTTTTATCGGACTAAGCGTTAATCCCACATGTAGGGAGCTAACCCACGGAAACGCTTGTTATTATCCATATTGACAGGTCAAACTAAATTACTTACTTTGGCCAAACAAATTCAAAATTTTTAAAATATAATTTACTTGCCTAGCAACAACATAAAATCAATTATGACAAGTATTTGATCTCTACCGGGACTGCAAATGTATCAGAAGTCAGCTTCTCGGCTTTGTAAATGAACAATATGCTTCCCCCAAATTATATAAAAATGTGATCAGGCTTCACTCCAGAATTTTCAGCTGTTTCAATGTGTATTTATTTGAAGCGTTCCAACAAATGGAATGAGCTCAAGCTGTTGCTGGAGCCAGTGCATCGTAACTATTCTGTAGTCCAGATAGTTAAATGACTGCAAATGCCGACTAAGCAATGCGCATTGTAACTTTTCCCTGCGACTTTTTACTATTTAACATGAACTGTGCAGCAGTTCCAGAAGCTTTAAGCTATCACTGTTTTTCTACTAGGATCTGGATACTCCAGATAGTTACGAGAAGGAATGTGCGTTGTAACTTAATACTGTGGTTTTAAGTATATAACATCAACTATGCAGCAGCAAGTTCCAGAAGCATTGAGCTTTCGCTGTATATTAACTAGTCCAATTACTGTATATTCCAGAAAGTTTAGTGATAGCTTAAGCAGACTGAGAAATGTGCATTGTAACTCCTCTGCGACATTCAAAAATGTAACATGCAGTTTGCCGAAGAAACTGAGCTCAAAGCTTTGGCTCGGCTAAAAGCTTCTGGTTATTTTATTAGTAAAAGTGTTCTTGCGAGAGGCATGTTTCAGATACATTGCACTTTTAAGTATATAAACTCAGATATATATATAGTATATATTTAATTGCTAATTCTGCTAATTCCTGTTACTTTGCTGCCTATGTGTTGCTCATAGCACTACCGTCAACTAAAATCAAGTGCAATTTGAAGTTGATGTTAATGGTGGTAGTGTTGGTTGATTCCGAGTTGCCACTTTAATCGAATAGGATGCCGCATCTAACATCCGTTTGTCAGCTACTTTTGCTTTATGGGACGCTTCTCGAAATGCTGAAGTGTACTTCTGCGCCTGGTGGCATTCCTAAAAGGGATTTGCATGCCACTGAGATGTTTATCGCAAATTGTTGCCCTCAACACCAGCACTCTCGTCGTCGTCGTCGTCGTCTGGGCGCACAAATGTCAACAGCACAAAGCGCTGACGTTTACACTGAAAGTCACTTTGGATGCCAGACAACAGCAGCAGGAGCAGCATGCAGCTGCAGCTATGGCGTCCCGGCTAATGAAAAGCGCCAACAAAAATGCAATGCATTTTTATTTTCACTTAATTTTTATTTGAGTTTTTTATTTAAATGCAAATGTTTAGCCTGCGAAGTGCACAGTTGTTTCGGCCATGTTTAATTGCTACTGACTTGGCATTGACATGAAGCTGGCTGGCTGGCTGCCTCCAAGCGCGTTGCCACTCTGCGTATCCTGAAGCTCACTTGTAAATTTGGCAAACATGTCTGCTTGTTGTTTTTGCTGTTGCCTTGGTGTCGTTGTTGTTGCTCTGTTGTTCAGTTTGTTCGGTTGTTGGGCAAAAGTATGCCCCAGAGTGACATTTCGCACAAATGAAATGTATGGCTGAAAACTTGTCTATTTGGGCCCAAGCAAATAATTTTATTATGAAACTTTTTTATGCATGTTTGCCTAGCCGTTTTGCCCCTCCATCTACTAGCTGTGGCACTTCCGAGCCAACTGAGTTGTGCTCTGTGTGTCACACAAGTCACCACCCAAAGCAAAATGAGGCTTTACGACAGCAAAGGGGCAGCGACAGGGTTGGGCAGTCGTGTGTGGGCTGTCTAGCTAGAAGATATGTCTAAAAGCTATCCACAAATTGTGCATCTCCAAAATATGCGCTCTCCACAACGGAATGGAAATACGGTCACACTGATACTTAGTGAACATTATTAACCGAATGTACGACATTAATGCAGAGCAGTCCGTTAGTATTTTTTTAATTAAGCTGACAAATATTTCAGCGGACACACTGATGTCTACAGAAGAGTTGTAGATAACACTAGAAATATGGGCACACTGTCAACACTTCACATAGTAACTTTGAGTAATTTAAGTAACATCAAATTTAAGTACCTTTAAATTTAGGCTGTCAGAAAAAAAAATAAAATAAAAACGAAAATATGCCCGCAGCGAAGAGTCAACTCTGTTGCCGTACAATTAGCTGGGGACCTTAATTGCAGCTGCACTTTAAATGCAGTCGAGGTCTTTGCCGTTATTACCTGCCAGCCGTTAGCCATTTGTTGCTATTTGCAGTTTGCAGCTTGCAGTTTTGTTGGTTGCAGTTTAGCCTTTAAGCTGGGCTCCAGCTCGCAGCGGTCTCCAGCAGTCAGCGAACTGAACTGAACTGCACCCACATAACCATAAACGTAAAATGCCACTTTCCCTTCTTCCATTTTGTATGCCCCTGCGGTGGGCATTACAATTTGGTCAGGCAATTTGTGACGCATAGAAGAAGGCATATCCGATTGGGTCTTATCCGTCAGTACTGTTGGCCATATCGGAAGACTTTGTGATTTAGCTGTCATGGTAATTATCATTCGTAAATTGAGTTCTTGTTTAAAAGACGTTTTTGTTCTTCCAGATTGTTCACCAAGTTCCTTACACAAATCTTATCAATTTCGTACCAAATATAAGTATGATACGAGAATACGAGTATAGTTAGAATTGGTAGAGAATATATTTTTGTTTTTCCTGCATTTGCATTTTCAAGCCACAGGAGCACAAGGGTATTTAAGCTTCGTCATGCTTAAATTCGTCTTGTTCTTTTTTTTTTAATTTCTGTTGTTGTTTTAGATGGCTACACTTTATACACTTTGTTGAGTCTGGTTCGTGGTCCGACACTAAATGCCTGCCAGCTTGGCCATCGTTGTTGCTGGACTGTTAATATTATTTTATAATTTCTTTTATTGCTGCTATATATGGCCTCTGGAATGGCAGTCATATTGTTTAAACACAGCCCCCACCCAAGTGCCAACTGTTTAACAAATGCAGCCATTGCCATAAATATTGTAAGTGGCGGCTGTGGAGCGATTTAACAATGTTAAGTTCATTTATGCAGCTGTGATGGACGGAGCACATTTAATGTAGATGGGGTGTAGGGAGGCACATTTAAGAAATAAAAATGTCCTAATTAAATTCATTAAAGGCTTAAATAAAAACAGAAAACAGGAATAGAAAGGTTAGAAGTATTTGAATGTGGTTAAGTAATGCCTAAGTTTCTGAATTGCAAAACTGAAAGCTATTAGATATGGGTATTAGAGTATTACATAGAATCTCCCTATCTATACTTCACTGTTATTATATATTATTATAATATTAAAATATTTCCAAGCCCTCTAATAAAAAGAATCGCTAAGCAGCTGTAAAGAAATATGTCGATATATATCTTGAAATAACCTGAAATAGCTCTCAACGCTCAAGTAATGCGTTGGCTTTAAGCACTTTAGCTGCTGCCACAAGTAGCTGCGATATTTTATTGACATTTATTTGAGATGGCCAACAGGAAGACGCAGGCAAAACGCGTCCAATGCTATTGACATACTCGTAATTCAAATAGGCAGCAAACGTGCCGCGCAATTCAAAGCGTCAAGCGCGTCAAAATGTAAATTGCTTAGGTTAGGGTATGGTGTGAATATAAAGGCGAGGGTAGCTGTCTACGTGCTGCTTGTAGACAAATCAATTTGACAAAACGCAAAAATTTGTAATCAAACAGTTTGTGAGTGCCTTTGTGTGTGTCTTTGCGTGTGTGAATGTATGTGTGTGTGTATTTATGTGTGTGTGTGTGTGTGTGTTAGCACAAATTTTTGGCTATTGTGACAATGACAATGAGACAAAGAAAAAGACAACAGGCAACAGATAAAAATGCCAGCCGCAAGCTTAACAAGTAGACGTCAAGGTGACGGGCTGCGGGGGCAGCCATTGTTTCCAGTTAAGCTGCCATCATAAAGCCAGTGGGTAGGGAAGGGGTGGTGCCGAGTGGCAAGTGGAGCACTGGCATCGACTACGAATGCTGCGCACACACTGCGCGCTAAAGAGTTTCAACAACTGTTGGCAACGGCGCGTCTAAATGTCGCTCATTTTGGCCAACAGACATCACGAGCGCGGCAGTAGCTGGGTGGCGGGGCTGGTGGTTATGGGATGGCGGGGGGTAGGCAGTCAGGGCTTTGGCTTATCTGCAGCTGTTTGACAATTGCCATGGCGTTGTGTTCGGTTTAATTATGACATTAAATGCGAGTTCATTGTGTGAAGCTGTGCGAGACTTTTGGGTGCGCACAAAAGTATGCAACAGTTTTTTTGCTGCCTTGCCTTTTACTATTGCATGCAAATATTTTAGCCTGCTGTGTGTCTACATGTGTATGCATGTGCGGAAATTATACGTTGCTGTTTTACAACAGACAGCAACACACCATACACACAATCACAGGCACACAAACACAGACAGTTGTTGAGCCTGGCAAAGTCAGCATAAAAAGCATTAATAGAAATTCATATTGTATGCGAAATGTGGTAAGCGGGTAGCCTACATAATAAACCCATTTCGTGCGGCTTTAAAACGCCATTTATGAAACATGTGCTAGCATTTATGCATATTAAATTAGTTAGCTTGCCCCGGCACGAAAAATAAACTGGCAAAAGGCATCCAAAGTGCCACAATAAACTGACATAAACATAAACATACACAAGCCCGCACACATAAACACACTCACACACACACACACATGCACAACATACAAATTCCAAAGTGCGAACCCTTTTTTATGGGGCAACGTCTCCGACCTAACATTATGCACGCACAAATGGCAAAGGGCGCCGGGTTTGCAGCTGCTTTTAGGGGCAGCCATCAGCTTCATATTCACACACATTAACACACCAAAATGCGCAATAATGAACCAAAGCAATACGCACATATTTTACAAGGTAGAATATCCCTACAATAATACGCATTTATCATGTATAAATTTTCCATAATTTTTATATAAAAACATAATTTCGGTTGAGTACCCACGCATTTATATCAACATTACTCGATTTTTAATCTATCAAAAAATAAGGTTAGGCTGTGCAGACAGAAGGAAGACTTCTTTAATCCTAAATGGGCTGCAGGCTCATATTTCCATTCAGAAATATGTCAAACCTACACCTATTTTGAGGATCTAGATCAGTTTTCCCGTCCAACATGAAAAAAATGAGTATTTTTATAAAGCCCTGGTTTGGTTTTTAAAATTAGCTTTGATATTAATTTATTATATTTTAAATAATTATTTTCTTTATATAAACATTTTGTCTTTACAATTATAATTATATACTTGGCAAATCCTGGACCTCACCCAATTCATCCCACATCACCTTAACAAATGCTTTACAGTTTCTTTTTGTTTTAGTAAATGTTTTGTCCTTTAAGGGTTAAAGTTAACAGAATATCTACAATTAAAAAAACACAAAAAATATTATTATGAATATGTATATGTATAAAATAGTTGGGTCTCCTTTGTGTGCGACTTAAAAACGCATGTTGAAACTTTTCAAGTGTGAATTGCTCTTCATTTTTACTGCAGACATAAAACTCGTTTCGCCTCGCGCACATTTTGTTGCCTACTTTTGTGCGCAGCAAAATGTAAGGCAGTTGGTGAGTGGATATGAATGAGTGTGTGTGGATGTGGATGTATGTACGTTGAATGCGCTGGTGTAAGTAAGTGTATGAGACGCAGTTGTTACAAAAAGAAACATAAAATAAAATGGCAACGCCAGAAATGTTTTATAAAAATTTATATGAGCATAATTTGTAACAGACAAAAAGAGGGGTAAAAACAGATGATATGCAAGGATGTGCTGTGTGCCTATGTGTAGACGGCGTGAACAGAACAGACAAGCAAGCTGAAACTGAATTCAACTAGGGATTTCCATTTGGTAGCACACAAAACATGTGCGAGCACCAGAAATGTGAACTCATGCAGGAGTATAAAATAATGTTTAATTATTTATTATATATTTTTCAATAGTTTACTTTAAGAAACAATAGCAAAAACTTTTATTGGAAGCTCGGGTTACGGTGCTAATTAAAAAAAAAAAACATCGCCCTACTTTGCGATTCTCATGAATACAAGTCTAAAAGGTCTTCCTGTTTTGATTGTAGTTATTTTTATTAACAAGTTGTGTTCGCAATCTAGTAAACTTTTCTTTGCTCATCTCTCTAATAAACTATCTCTCCTTTTTGTCTCTCTCTCACAATATCTATCTCCATCTTCTTCTTTTTTCCTTTTCTCTCTTATTTTATTATTTTTTTTCCTGCTGACTCCAACGCAGTGCGTACCTCTTTCAATTTATTTAGTGGTGTGTATATATGACTCTACTTCCCTTCTAAAAGATGGCAATAAAACAATTGTGCGTGTATGTGTATCAAGTATTTTATAGATAATGTAAACTATTATATTTCTGATAATTAATTGACACAAGTGCCATCTCCAGCGCTTCTACCTTAATGATTATAGTTAATATAATCGATTTAAGACTAAGTGCAAACCAAATATCAGAACAAATAGATGTTTGCAATATTAAGGAATAGTTTGCTTTAAAGTTTGTCAGCTAAGAAGGTAACTTCTTTCTCTCTCTCTCTCTCTCTCTCTCTATCTTTCTCTTGCACCTTCTTTCTCTATTAGCACACGAGTTAGTCAAATTATAGAAGTAGCTGTCCTGACTGAGTTGTTTGTATCCTTATTTTCTAAAACAATTGTGCGTGTATGTGTATCAAGTATTTTATAGATAATGTAAACTATTATATTTCTGATAATTAATTGACACAAGTGCCATCTCCAGCGCTTCTACCTTAATGATTATAGTTAATATAATCGATTTAAGACTAAGTGCAAACCAAATATCTGAACAAATAGATGTTTGCAATATTAAGGAATAGTTTGCTTTAAAGTTTGTCAGCTAAGAAGGTAACTTCTTTCTCTCTCTCTCTCTCTCTCTCTCTCTATCTTTCTCTTGCACCTTCTTTCTCTATTAGCACACGAGTTAGTCAAATTATAGAAGTAGCTGTCCTGACTGAGTTGTTTGTATCCTTATTTTCTTTTTCTGGTATGCAATTAAGATGCAAATTGTTTTTACACGAAATCAAATTCTATGCCCTGGCAAAGTAAAAGAGCTGCATATCAGTTTGCCACTTGACGCTGTTGTTGTTGCTGTTGTTGCTGTTGTTGCTGCTGCTGTTGTTGCTTAAATGTCGTGCAAGTTTTCAAGCGAAGTGCACTACGTATGCAATCGACACATGTGTGCAACAAAACTCGTTAACACTTGAAAAGTTTCATGGCCCTGGGCAATTGTAACGGGCTCTGCTTGAAATGCTCGCTGCATGGAGGCCACTCGGGGGTGGGGAGCTTACGAAGTAACGTAATGCTGCTAAAAAACACTTAAGCAAAATCTTGTAAGCAGCAAATAAATCAGAGTGTGTGTGCTACTTGGCATGAGCAGCGTGGGTGTGTGTGTGTGTGTGCGTGTGTGTGCCTGTGTGGGAGCTCACCTTGACTAGAGCTTGGCCTGGAAACAAACAAAGTTCAAGTACGTGACACAACTCTAACCAAAGTGTTGTCTATACACATTTAAGTGGTTTCTGGCTTCGCTTGCGTTTTTGAAAATCAAACCAAAAGTTTACGTTTAATGACAGTTCATTTGAAAAAACCCAATTTAAAGTTAAGCTCGACAGAAAACAGACTGAAAATGATGTAAAATTCACAGAAAACAAATTATGAAAGAGCTCAAAAGATATCGAAAAATGTAATCTGATTTTTTCCATTCGAATAGGCCTCACACTGACTAAACAATAACTATTAACACTTAGTAGGCTATATATTTATAAAAATAAATGTACTTTTTGCGATAAGGAGGCAGTTTCCAATTTGGCTTGACCTGTTGCGATAAGGAGGCATATAAGGAAATCTAGTTCAACCTTTGGAGGACAAATGACACTCATTTCAATATCCAATATCAGGCAGATACTCGACATTAAGAAATACAAAAATCAAATTTGCTGGTGGATTTGAATCGGTGACTTCTTTACTTGCCAGGAATGCAACTGTGACCACCGGTTGCTGTCATTTGGAGCTTTAACTTTCCAAAAGGCCGACTTAGAGCTCACTTTTG